GAGCCTGACTGCCGAGTGTGGACCAAGGTAAGTTCGAACTAAGGTACTTCAACTTCAGCTACGTTATTCACGTAGCTGAAGTTGCGTACCTTAGTTCGAATTAGGAGGGTAGTGTAGACCAAGCCTAAGTGATTTTTAACTTGTTCTTTTTTTATTTTATCTGCTAAACCTACCCCCTTCCCATTAGCATTCACTATGTTAGGCATTCCTTCAGACTTCTCGGTGAAGACTGAAACAAAGAAGTCATTAAGCATCTCTGCCATTTCCAAGTTTCCTGTTATTGTTTCTCCGTCTTTACTAAGCAGTGGGCCTACCCTGTCTTTGGTCTTCCTCTTGCTTCTAATGTGCTACATGTGCTACAGCACACGTGTGTGTGTATAAAGTTTCACTAATATTTTAAAGTATGTAGTGTTGGCTTTTCTTGTTTGTTTCTGTCACTTATTATTTGTATTCTAAACTTTAAGGTGTGGGTGGGTGGGGAGGGGTGTTGAAAATAAAAAAGATCTGAAACAGACTATTAAAGGGCTGGTTTTATGTGATCTCACATTGAGTTTTCATTTGTATTTAGATATTGCTTCTGCATTTGTGGCACCTGTGGATCTCCAAGCTTATCCAATGTATTGCACTGTTGTGGCATATCCCACAGATCTCAGTACCATTAAACAAAGACTGGAAAGCAGATTTTACAGGTTAGATCCAAGTCTCTGTTACTTCTATCAAGTAGTGCCAAACAGATCTTTTTGCTTGTCTTTTTATAGGATGATATCTAACAAAGAGATTGAAATAGATTGACTGTGTCCATCTGTCTCACCATGCATCTATCCTTCATCTAGGTTTTCTTTTTTAAAGTGTTAAAGTAGGGATTGACCAGCTATTTTTCTTGATGTGAATTTAAGAATATGCATATTGTTCAAGTGCCTAGTCCTGCAGTTGGCTCCATGTGTGTGGATCCAACTGCAGGATCAGGGCATATGTCTATAAAGTGATTTTCAAATCAAAGTAATGGCATTTATGCTTTTAAAATTAAACAAACTGATTGAAAATATTCAGTTTACTGTTTAAAATGATAAATTGAAAAAATAGGCAGACTATACCTTACGCCATTTTAATGTATTTATTGGCAGTTTATAGTAAGAGTCTGCACATAACACATACTTTAAAAAGAAACTGTTGGCTTGGCAATTTAATCCCTTTATAAAAGTCTTATTGAATTAGGACACCATTTAATTAATTTTGCAGACAATTGTTTGGATTTTGTTTTAACTTGTTAGCACAGTTTTCATCTCTTTTCCTAAATGATGGCTTTGTTCGGCAAATTGTCTTTAATATTTAGTATTTAATTATCGGAGATAAAGTATTGTTCTATTAAAATACTTTGTGGAGGACTGCTCCTCTTGAATTACAGAAGATATTTGTTTTGAGAATTTATCCCCTCCCCCTGTGCATATGGTATGTTGTTTTGCTACTTGGGCTGAATCTGAACATTAATATGTAGTGCGCCTTGCGTACTCCTACATTACTAGGTTGCCATTCTAATATAAAACTGTTTTTTCATTGTCAGAGAAAACGGACATCAGAGCTTTTGAACAAAATTAGATATTTACTTTTTTCTCTCTTACTTTCACCCCTAGCCCATTTCTCTCTTTCTTTCTCTGGGTATTTTTACTGGAAATTTTACTGAAATGCTATTGCAAACTTAGAAATTCTTTATTAAAATTGCCAAATACACATTCTGTTCTGTTCTAAGATAATACGTTCCAAAATGTATGTCTAATTTTAAAAAACAATATTAATCATAAGACAATATTTATCTGCTCAAGGAATTTTATGCAAACTGAAGATTTGGTTCTTCTTCAAGTAATGTCCCTATAGATGCTCCACTTCAGATGCATGTACACCCCGTGTGCTTTTGATCAGAGACCTTCAATAGCAGTGTCCATTTGGCCTGCACAAGGGTCCCATACCTCCTGATGCACCACATCAAGGCTATATAGGTCTGTGCAAGAGAACCACCCTCAGTTCCTTCTCCATTGCCTTGGTCTGAGACAGACCCTGAGCGTGTCTGCCTCAAGTGTGCCTCAGCCAAAAGAATTTTTCCTAATTGCTAGTTTAGTTCAGTTGAGTTTGTTAGTTAGATTAGATTAGTTTAGTGGTTGAGAGGATCAGTTTTGTTTCTCTCCCCTGCCTCTGGGGTGGGTTGCCGAAATGCACCACCTTGGATACACAGCGTATCCCTATCTCAATGACTGGGTCCTCGTGGGACTCTCACAGTGGGAAGTCACCTCTGTGATCCTTGCCCTTCGCCCGCTGTTGACATCTCTACGTATATGCATCAACAAGGACAAGTTGGTGCTGACACCTACACAGAGAATGCACTTGATCGGCATGCGTCTCAACTCCGTTGCAGCCAGGGCTTTCCTCATGGCAGACTGCTTCGCAACACTTGACATCTACAGACCCAGCATGGACCATATGCAGACCAGAGTTGTCCTTCCCCAGACCATGCTGTCTTCCCTCACATGGTGGACTGATCCTTCCCAGGTCTTAATCGGCACCCCCTTCGCCCCTCCCATACCACAGGTCACCATCATGACAGATGCCTCCCTTGCAGGTTGGGGAGCCCACCTGGACCACCGTACCCAGGGTCTCTGGATGCCAAGGGAGGCCAGAATTAACATAAACGTGCTAGAGCTCTGGGCGGTCCGTTTCGTATGTCAGGCCTTTCTCTCACTTGTGCAATCCCTCCACGTTCAACTCCTTTCCAACAACATCACAGCAGTCATGTACGTCAACAAGCAGAGTGGCGCCAAGTCTCTCTCCCTCAGCTCCGAGTCTGTATGCCTCTGGAACTGGTGCATTAAACACCACAGAATGCTTCAAGCCATGTACCTCCCAGGTATCTAGAACTCCCAGGCCGACGCACTCAGCTAGACACTCTACATCCATCACGAGTGAGAGCTACACGACGCTACACTACAGTACTTTTTCGAGCTCTGGGGCACCCCGCAATGGGACCACTTTGCCACTTCCGAGAACAGCAAACTGCCCCTCCATTGTTCCAGAGGGGCGATAGGGGAGGACCAGTAGGGTGACGCTCTCCTCCTCCCCAGACCAGAAATCTTCGCTATGCCTTCCCTCCCATTCCCTTTCTTCCGCAAGAGCTATGCAAGATTTGCAGACACAGAGCCACAGCACTACTTGTAGCCTCGTCGGATCTGGTTCATGGACCTCCTTTGACTCTGCACCCGCACACCGATCTGCATTCGCACACTCCCAGATCTATTCACACAAGATTGGGGGAGACTCTGGCATCCCAATCCAAGCCCTCTTCACCTCATGGCCTGGTATTTGGATGGGTGTCAAGGGTAGACCAGGCATGCTCCACCCTGGTGCGGCGAATCCTTACACAGAGCAGGAGAGAATCCACCAGGCATGCTGCCAAGCAAAATAGAGACACAGTATCTATACCAGTTGTCCTGAACTATCTTCTCACCCTCAAAATGTCCGACATAGCCATCGCTTCTGTACGGGTGTCCCTAGCAGCAATCAGTACCTTTCTTCCCCCTATTGACAGCACCTCAGCCTTTACGCACCCCATCACTGTCCACTTCATGAAGGGTTTACTCAATACTTCCCGCCAGTACTGAAGCCCACACCCATATAGGACCTTAATCTCATCCTTTCCGCTCCCGTAAAACCATCCTTTGAACTGTTGGCAAATTCTCCCTCTCCCACCTCTTGATGAAAGTGGCATTCCTGGTAGCCATAACTTCAGCCAGGTGGGTCAGTGAGCTGGCAGCTATGATGGCAAATCACCCCCCCACACAGACCACATTCCACAATGACAAAGTGTCCCTTCGACTCCATGCTAAATTTTCTCAAAGATCATGTAGGAATTCCACCTGAACCAGTGCATCCATCTACCTGTTTTCTACCCAAACCACATACTTCCCACACTGACAAGGTCCTACATTCCCTCGATGACTTTCTACCTTCACAGGACTCGACCCTTTCACACATTGCCAAAGCTCTTCATGGCCATTGCCGAACGGTCCAAGGGTCAAGCCTTCTCTTCCTAACCAGTCTCCAAATGGGTATTGGATTGCATCCAAGAATGCTACAACCAATCTGGTGTACTCTCACCTGCTAGAGTCTACACGAGCGCGGGCCACCATATTGGCCTCACTAGCAGATGTGTCCTGGCAAGACATCTGTCAAACAGCTACCGGGCGGTTAGTCCACATCTTCACAGCACATGTCCTCAGAACGGCTTTCTCCACGAGTTTCTCCACTCGCTCAAAGATTCAGAAACAATGCTTCACTTGCTGGGCATTTATACCCGTGTTCCCAAGAGGAAGCATCATAGACCGGTATATAGGTCAAGACCAACTCTTCAGCCCATTTATCATTAACTCCTTAGGAGTCACCATGCAAAAGACAGATGATGTATAGATCTAAGAATCCAGCCTTTGCAACATCCACTGCTGTTTCATGCTCTAACCCCCAGGTAAAGTTTCTTTTGATGGGAATGTTGAGACCTCTGTCCCTTTATTGATACCTCTCCTGTCCCCTATTCAGATGTTTGGAGGCCACCTTACTCAATTTGTCAAAAACTGGACATCCCAAACTACAAACAAATTGTTTTAGATCTTATCCATGGTGACTGTTCCAGTTTCTGACATCCCTTACCCAGTTCCTCTTCAGGGATCACTCTTACAATGAGATTTTACAACAGGAAGTGAACTCCCTGTACCTCAGGGGAGCCATAGAAAAAGTTCCACCTCAACACCACGGGAAAGGATTGTATTCCCCTTACTTCCTGAGTCCCAAGAATAATGGAGGCCAGTTCTCAGTCTGTGTCAGTTAAGTTTATCCAAAAACTAAATTGCGCATGATCTCCTTGGCATAGATAATTCTCTTGTTAGAGGAGGGCAAATGATTCATGGCTCTTGATGTGAAAGATGCATATTTTCATATAGATATTCATCCAGTTCACAGGAGTTTCCTTGGGTTCCTCTTTGATCATGACCTTTACCAATTCAGAGTCCTCCCCGTTGGTCTGACCACAGCACCAATGGTGTTTACAACAGTTTTCTAAATTGTGGCTGCTGGGATGAGAAGAGAAGGATTTACAGTCTTCCCGTACCTTGATGACTGGCTTCTCAGAGGCAACTTAGAAAAGGGAAGAAGGGGAATCCGGAGAACTACAGATCGGTCAGCCTCACCTCAGTCCCTGGAAAAATCATGAAGCAGGTCCTCAAGAAATGCATTTTGAAACACTTGGAGGAGAGGAAGGTGATCAGGAACAGTCAACAGGGATTCACCAAGGGCAAGTCATGCCTGACCAACCTGATTGCCTTCTATGTTGAGATAACGGGCTCTGTGGATATGGGGAAAGCGGTGGACGTGATTTACCTTGACTTTAGCAAAGCTTTTGATACAATCTCCCACAGTATTCTTGCCAGCAAGTTAAAGAAGTGTGGATTGGATGAATGGAGTATAAAATGGATAGAAAGCTGGCTATATCGTTGGGCTCAATGGGTAGTGATCAACGGCTCGATGTCTAGTTGGCATCCAGTATCAAGTGGAGTGCCCTCGGGGTCGGTCCTGGGGCCAGTTTTGTTCAATATCTTCATTAATGATCTGGATGATGGGATGCATTGCACCCTCAGCAAGTTTGAGGATGACA